CCCCACAGCATGGGTGGCCAGGGACAGTGGGGGAGCCTGGGGTCACTGCAGAGGCACAGGAGAGCCCCTGCAGTGCAGAGTCCCCCTGAGCCTCTGCTGCTTCCCTTTCCCAGCTGGGCAGGGAGACCCTCAACTTCTCCTTCACGGTGGAGCGGGACATCCCCGTGCAGGGCCTGAAGCCAGCCCAGGTGAAGGTCTATGACTACTATGAGACAGGTGAGTGCCAGGAGTGCCCTGGGAGCGAGGGTGGCCAGTGGGACACGTGCAGGGCCACGGGAGCTCTGGGGACACACAGCTGTCGCCAGCCTGGCACTGCCACCCCAGCCCTGCCCTGAGCTCTGGGAGTGCAGAGGGGCAGGGACAGAGCCGTGGATGCTGGGGGTCCCGTGGTCATTTCTGGCCCTGGAGTGTGGCCGTGCCTGTGCTTCCAGGCAGAGCTGCTGCTCCTTGTGCCTCTGCCGTGCTGCCTGCTGTGCCAGGGTGGCAGTGGCAGAGCTGTTTGTCCCCACCTCAGCCCAGGGTGCTGGGAGGAGGTGTCTGAGCAGCCCTTGGGTACACTGGGTGGAGATCTGCAGGAGCTGCCTGTGTGGGTGGCCCTGGGAGAAACTGGGGGTGGTGGCACCAGCCTGCTCTGGGGGCCTGGGAAAAGCATGTCTCTGGCACCCATCCCTCTGCCAGCAGTGCCAGGGCTCATGACAGCTCACTCTCTCCCTTCCCTTCTGTTTTCCAGATGAGTTTGCCACACAGGAGTACAGTGCTCCCTGCACCACAGGTAGGGTACTGCATCCTTCACTGCTCTCTACATCTTCTTCATTGTATTTTTAGTCTTCCAGCAAGCACTTGTCTCTTCCTGTTTGAATTTGGATGACATTGGCCCAACTTACAGGCAGAGATCTTGCACATAATACAGAGAGCATGGGAGTTACAGAGATGGCAAGTTTGCCCTTGGTTGCTACTCTCTGGAGGAACAAGCTCTGCTTCCTGCTCAGGTTCCTGCTGCCCCAGGGTCTCTCAGGAGGCAGCTATGCCTCATGACCCTTGGTAAACCAGCCCTCAGTCTTGATTTGGCATCTAAGCTGGCAGGACAGAATACTGTCATCTTTGGGGGATTCTCTGCAATGCAAGGCCATGTGTGTTCAGCTTTGGAGCGCAGGAAATTTAGAAGCTTCTGTAAAAAAGTCTGACCAAGGTTATTTCTCCTCTCCTATATGGAGTCTTCCAATATGAAGACTGGCAGGTCTTGCTTTCCATCAGTTGCCCAGTTTCAGGTGTTTGGAATATGGAGGCTTCTGGAAAGTAGAGTTCCTGGGAAATGGTTTTTCACAGGACCTGACCGGGACACCTGAAAACAGAGAAAGACTGATCTGGACTTGAAGAAGGCAAAAGCTTTGCTTTTTGCTGGTGGTAAATGGTGGCTTTTATAATCTTTAGTATTTTTATCTGAAAAAGTAGAAAAATGTCTGAACTCCCACACTTCTATTCCATACTGCTTGTTAATCTGGGCTGTGTCCATAGGTACAGCTGTTTTCTGCTAATTCTGGACTTATAGCCTCCCTTCATGGAAAAATGTGCCTAAGTCCAAACATTGAGTGGAGAGTAAAACATTTTCCAAGGTTATTTTGGTGTGGTCTGGTTGTCCAGTGTGAGACTCACTGGGAGACCTTAGATTTTAGGTTACTTGTCTCCAGTTCTGTTAAAAGGCAGAGATTTTATCTTCCTTGGAAAAGGTGATGGGAAATTGCTAGTTAAGAGGCTCATCCACTAGTCTAAATGTACAAAGGTGGCCTGCACTGACTAAAAGGCAGATCTCAGTTGCCAAGCTTCCTTCCCTACCCTGTATAGTAGAGCAATAGAGTGCAGTAGATTTCTTCCATGCTTTGCAGAGAAATAAGCAGAACATGTCTCACTGCTACACTGACCAGCCTTGCCCGTTTGCACTGTGCTCCTGTGTACATCTCAGTTGTGACAAATGCCACTCTGCTTATCTCTCCCAGGGGTTCAGGGAGAATTTCAGCCCTCTCTCAATCTCTCACTGCCTCGAAGGTGACACAGGTAGTGAGTGCTGTGGATGACCCTCCACCCTGGTAAAATAGCAACTCTCTCTCCTGTACTGTGCTTCACACACAACCTGGCTCCCACGTCCACATCTTGCTCCCTCTGCCTCTCAGCCTTAGAAAGCAAATGGACATATCTCTCTGACTCCTGTTCCCTCCCATCTTTTTTTATCCTTGCAGAAGAAGTAGACCAGGGAAATGAATGAAGAACATTCCCAGATGATGGAACCCGCCTGCCTCACTACCACCACAGCATGACATATTAATAATGCCTGCATGGAATGGAAAAGTGGACTTTACAAATAAATTAACTGTACTCACCAATGATTTTTGAACAGTTTGTTCCCAATTCTGATTTTTCCTGTTCATCTTTCAGTCACAGCTTTAAACTCCCTGGCTTCTTAGGTTAAAGAGTAACCCATCTAACAATGCCTATGTGCAGGGAAATAAGGCTAAAAAGTGAGGAAAGAAAAAGAGGACAGAATGATGTAAGTGGGGGTCAGCCTTTCTAATGCATCTGTCTCTGTGTTATGTTCTCTGAATTTATCATCTGAGATGCAGTCTAACCAATGGAGAAGGATAGGTAGCTCTTGGGAACAGTTTCTCTCCCTTGGCTTACAAACCATAACCTCGATTGAATTGGTCTCTGCAGAGGTCTATCCATGTCTCCCACCATGAGGCATCTTCCAGATCAACTAACGTTACATAAAATTCAGCCTCTGTGATCTTCCCTGTAGGCACCCCTCCTGGGATTGTTTCTTGTTTGTAGAAGAGTGGAAGGAGACAGAGTCTGTCCTCTTCAATGATTAGAGAGTGCCAGGGGGCAGGAGGGATGTGTGCATGCATTATGCCTTCAGCTGCTAACTTAAAATGGCCTGCTCTCCAGCTGAAGCTTGAGCCTTCTTGTGGAAATTTCCATTATCTCATGTCTGCTACTTCTGGGAGATTCCCAATGAGAAGCTAATGGCAATTGCCACTAACTCACCTGCCTAAGTCTAGTTTAAATGGTACATTCATTTAAATCATATAGTTACTTTCATGAAACTGTGGATAGGCCTCTTAAACATCTCCAGGAATGATCTCCCTTTCTTCGTTTCGTCTCATGAATTTGTGGTTTTAACTTCTGAATGCAAAAATGTGACTGTTTATTCTCATGAAATGGTTCTTCTTAGGTATCATGGCATGTTGTGCATCCAAAGTATGCACAGTTGGCTGTTCCATCCAATTTTTGGTTTAGCTTGCCTGTACAAACAGCATCATTGAGAACAAATAAAATTCTTCATCTATTTTGCTAGATATTAACATTATGTCACTTTGTCTTCTGTGATGTTTGGGGTTTACACACTCAAGGCTTTTTGACACCTCATATTCAGAGGAGTCTGTGGAATGAACCAGCTTCAGTGACAGCTGAGCAAAATTTCTAATACAGCTAAATTGCATTTTGTTTTGAATTAGAAATAATATAACCATCTATTTTTTCAACCATGAGGCAATTGCTTTTCCAGAGAAAGGAGGGTCTGTATTTGTGAAATAAACTACATGAGGGACTCCTATAGGTGTGTTTGCTTAAGCTTACATCGGCAGGGTGAAAGGCACCTCTGCACATAGAAACATGTAAGTAAAACACACATGGTGCCATATGATCTCTTGAACTGAGGCTGACTGCCTCTGCATCCTTATGAGACATCTAAACCAGAGAAAACACAACCATTTGGAAAATTTACATGAAAAATGTTTAACCTAAATTATGAGATGAATCCAGGCTCTCCCCATTGAAATCTGCTGAAGCATTGTAAGGCTAGTTGAGAAGGAGAAAAAAAAAGTATTAAAAATTACTCAGAAAACCCAGAGGAGGTCTATGGGCCTCCACTGAGGATAAGAGGATAAAGTTCTTATGAAAAATGCAAGGGGTTTGCACTCAAAATATGGTTCTTGGTTGAAATTTTGCCAAAGATTATCTTGAGAGCCATCATGTGTCACATACAGGAGTACCAGGTGCTCAGTGCCAGCTAGCACAGGTTTAGGAAAGGCAGGTCCTGCTTGACCAGCTTGATCTCCTTCTCCTTATCCACTCAATGAATAAGGGAAAGGCTATGGATGTAGTTTACCTAGACTTCAGTAAAGCCTTTGACACAATTTCCCACAGCACTCTCCTGAAGAAATTGACTTCTCATGGCTTGGGAATGTGCACTCTTTGCTGGATAAAAACCTGTCTGGATAGCCAGGAGCAGGGAGAGGTGGTAAATGGATTTACATCCAGCTGGTCACTAGTGGGTCCCCCAGGGCTCAGTGTTGGGGCCAGTCCTGCTTAATTATCAATGACCTGAGGGGATCTAGTGCTCCCTCAGTAAGTTTGAAGGAAACACCAAGCTGGGTGGGACTGGTGACCTGCTGGAAGGTAGGAGGGCAATGCAGAGGAATATGGACAGACTGGATCCATGGGTCAAGGCCAGTGGTGTGAGGCCAAGTGCTTGGGTCACAACAGCCCCATGCAACACTAAGTGGTTTAGCAGTGGACTGAGCAATGCTGGGTTAATGGTAGGACTTGACCTTAGAGCCTTCTCCAACCTAAAAAATTGTGAATGACACTGTTAAGGTCCCAGTCCCTCCCTGACTTCAATTCAGCTGTTTAGAAATAAGCAGACAGTGCTAGAATGGGAAAGTCCACAGGTCTTCACTTCTATCTGGGCTGCTGCAAAAGATCAGATTGGACAGGTTCACAGTGTCCTTGCACCTCACAGCAGTGATTTCCCAGTGCAATCAAAGGCAATATGTGATCAGAGGTTTATGTCCAAGGATCACCTTGCAGAAAACACCATCTGTGGGGCAGAGAGACAAGCTTCCAGTGCATAATGGATGAGATGCAATGTTGTCTCTCCTTTGAGAACTGACAAATATGGAGAAAAATCTCCCAACTGCTGAAAGCTGTCTGTCTTCTGGTATTTCTGAGGAGTTCCCAAACACCACCTTGCCATGGATAGCTCTGGATTGAAATCTCAGGCCATGACACGGTTTGGGAGAAAGACAAGTGTAACAGTAACAGAAAACAAGGCCAGAGACATCTGATGAGATCAAGAATTAATTTATTTACAGTGTTTCTTCCTTTTGGCTTTTGAGGTGTCCTCCTTTAACATTTCCCTTAAAAAGATCTTCTAGGGGCAGAGACACATGAGCTGATACAGCAAGGCTTCAACAAGATGTATTCTTCAGGAATTTCCTTGTTCAGTCTTGACTGGAAGTGGGAAAAGGACAAAGGGAGATAAATATTCTGGTGAGTGGTACCCAGAGCCCTGGACCCTGTGGAGTCCAGCCTCTGTGTTCTGGTGGCTATGTGAGTTCAAGCCCTGTTAAACTATGAGAAACTGCTTCACCTGAAAATGCCCAGTTGCAGACCGATAACAGAATGGGAATGGCTGGACACATTCAAAATATCTATGCTACAGAGAGGGGAGGCAGATTCATCCTGAAGATACACGAGCTATCCAAGCATACATTCTCTCTCAGCAACTGCACTTCCCATGGGAAAGCAGAATTAAGCCAGGGAGGAGTTTGAAAGGTTCTCGTTAAAGAGATGTGAATAACATTTCACTAAGGTATTTGGGAAACGATTCCTCAGCAGCTTTCAGTGTCTGCAGCATATCAGATGTGGCCCTAAAAAGGCCAGAGACACAAAAGGATGAGTGTCATGTTCCATCCCAAAGGAGATTTGAATCTAATTTGCAAAAAGTGACACTAACACAGAGAAAATGACAATTGCCACTGTACAAAGGCAGTAACACTGAGAATGCTATACTCAGGGAAGGAAAATGAAAGCTGTATCTGATCTTACAGAGGAAGTCGGGTGGCAGAATTGCTTTTTGTCTCTGCACTGAGATGGGGACTGCAGTAGTTACAGTGAAGAAAATGCTGAGAGTAGACAGAGGCCAAGGAAACACAAGGTCTACAAAGACTCTAGTTCAAGACAATTTTCAACAGTCCCTGCTGGAGCATCTCAGTTGTTCCTATGCACCTACCTGTGGTGCAGGGAGCACTGTACTCCTGTGTGGCAAACTCATCTGGAAAACAGAAGGGAAGGGAGAGAGTGAGCTGTCATGAGCCCTGGCACTGCTGGCAGAGGGATGGGTGCCAGAGACATGCTTTTCCCAGGCCCCCAGAGCAGGCTGGTGCCACCACCCCCAGTTTCTCCCAGGGCCACCCACACAGGCAGCTCCTGCAGATCTCC